AACTGATCATTTATAAATTCATTAATATTTAAGATATCTGAACTCCTAAGAGCAAAATACATTGTACTGGTTTGATTTTCACCACTAACCAATTTTCTTTGATATTCACATGTTAAAGCTAATTGTCCTTTTATATTTTTAAATTTTTGTTTTTCAATTAATTTTTGAATTTCACTTCTTTGTGATTCTAAATAATCAGATATATCCAAACCATCATTTAAATTTGTTAGAATATATTCTTGAAAATAGCCTTTTAATGAAGAAGCTTCTTGAATATTTATTATATTTTCTTTTGGAATCGGTTTATTTTTAAGATGATCAGTCAATAATTCAGTCAATTCCTTTCTAGTTTTATTTACAATTTTAATATTATTTTTAACAGCTAAATCTGGAATAAATTTCAATGATCTATATTTTAAATTATTAGGATTTTGTTTAATTTTATTTAGTCTTTTAATCAGTTCATTTCTTACTAAATTTGTATAGTTTCTAACAGATAGTTTGTTAGCAATTTCCTTTAATTTTTCTTCATTAAATAATAAATAGTTTGCTGGATCATATAACTGTTTGATCTGTTTTAATTCATCAATTTCTTTTGTTTCATAATCATAAATATTATTATTTTTACACCACTCTTTTAACTTTTTAGTTTCATTTTCATATTTTATTTTATTTTCTAAATGTTTCTTTGAATTATAATGTTTTGAATAATTTGTAGAAGATATATTTTTAATGCAATAAGGGCATAAAATATTTTTACTTTGTCGTTCCATTTATTAAAGGAAAATTTTTGCAAAACAACTTTTTAATAAAATAAGCAATCAACTAATCACTAGTCAATTTATATTTTCTAGAGGTTTTTTTCCCAATAAAATCAGCAATCAACTAATTACTAGTCAATTTATATTTTCTAGCTTGTTTTTCAATATTTTTAAGATATCAATTATCAAGAGTCGATTTAAAATTTCTAGAGTAGTTTTTCAATATTTTCAAGATATCAGTTATTAAGAGCAGATTTAAAATTTCTAGAGTATTTTTTCAATAAAATCAACAGTTAACTAATTGTTGATCAATTTAAATATTCTAGAGTATTTTTTCAATATTTTCAAGAAATCAGTTATTAAGAGTCAATTTAAAAATTTTAGAGTATTTTTTCAATATTTTCAAGATATCAGTTATTAAGAGCAGATTTAAAATTTCTAGAGTATTTTTTCAATAAAATCAACAGTCAACTAATTATTGATCAATTTAAATATTCTAGAGTATTTTTTTCAATATTTTCAAGGTATCAGTTATTAAGAGTCGATTTAAAACTTCTAGAGCATTTTTTCAATAAAATCAACTAAATTATCAACTAATTATTGATTAATTTAAATATTCTAGAGTATTTTTCAATATTATCTAAAAACAACTCTTTAGAATATTAACAATATCAAAACTTTTTTAAACTAATACAATTTCTAATAATATTATTAAATTATTTATTTATTGATATTTTTATTATGAATATTAGTTTTTAAATGTCTTACATAGTTATTGACCCATTTAATATTTCTTCCACACTCACAAAATTGTGGTTTTAAAAACATATCTCTATAACATTCAATACAAATTGCTAACTTTTTATCTTTACTATAATTCGAGTTATAAAAATTTACTATATCTTTGATTTGTTTACAATTTAAACACTCTTTTTGATTTCTTTCAAATCCTTTAATATTATCAAATAATTCCTTTCTATATAATTTATCACATTCTTTACAGTAATAATATAATCCATCTTTTGCTGATTTTCTTTTTGAAAACTCTGATGCATCTTTTAACAATTTACACATTAAACATTTCTTCTCCATTTATTATAAAAAAAAATAAGTAATATAATTCAATTAATTTTGAATCATATTAATGACAGTTAAAAAGCTTAAACTTTACTAATATCCCCTTTTTTATATAACAATTTAATACAAATACAATTTATTTTTGAAAACATTTACTTATCAATTTAACATTTATTAGACTTATAATACATCAAATATCATTAGAATTTTCTGAGAAATTCAATACTTTTGATAGATTTTAACTAACTCAAATAGGAAAAATATTATTTACAAAAAACAATAATTTAAATAAAATATTAAAAAAATTTGAATACAAAGTTTTATAAATTTACTTGTTTTTAAAAACATTTGTTTTGTAGTCAATTTTATGGAAAATATAGACATATTCATGAAAATTTCATCAAAATTGTATACTTTTTCTAGAAAAATATAAAAATGTTAGAAATTGACCTAAAAGGGTAAAAAATATAGCATATTGTATAGAAAAATAGGAAAATTCATTAAATTATTAAAGTCTTCCTTTTTTGGTAAATTTTATTAATAAATAAATGCAAATTCAACAAAACTTCAATGGATTTTAAAGAAAGATTAAATATATTTTAATTAATAGAACAAACAATTTCTTTCTGTCAAAAACAGAGATTTTACATTGGTTTTCTGAACTCGTACTTTTTTGCGCTAGGATTGGTACATTACTATCTACTTTTATATATATATATGAATTTGAACGGATGGTGTTTTTGGCCTCTAGGGACCTCAAAACAAAAAAAAAATCAGTCTCGCGTCCAGGTCTTACCATGAGAACTACGGTAATAGCTTATTCCCTATATGGGAAATTCGCTAAAAAGGACTTTTTTAATTTGTATTGATTTTTTGCTGATTCTCGAGGTCATGCCATAAATGATAAATAAATAATAAATTATAATAATAATAATAAATAATAAAAAATAAATAAAATTAAAAAAAAAATAAATAAGAAATAAATAATAAATAATTAATAATAAATTATAAATTTGTAGTTTTTAACCTTTTTTGTCGAGTAACTTAATTAGTTTTTCACTTTAAAGGTCGATTCACACACATCAGTCCAGTCACAGTTCCGTTACAGTCCAGTTGCAGTCCAGTCACAGTTGCATCCGCAATTTCTCGGTCAATTGTCCGTCAGTTGGTTTTAGTCAGTCTTCCGTCTCTAATATTTTCAGTAATTTAGTCAAAAAAAAATAAATTATATACCTATATTCTATTAAATTATCATTGTCCATCTTGTTGATTGTTACAAACAGTACTCAAAATACAAACGCAACCATTTAAATAACAATAACACTATTTTCTAACCTCAAACAGTTCCGTCAGGCGTCCGAACAATAAAAAAATATCGGTGAAAAGAAATCTGAAATTGACTGACGGATGCCGGCAGAGAGACTGACGGGATTGCAACGGATGAGTGTAGATACCGCAATAGAAAATCCATCAAAGAATATTTTTGTTAACTGTGACGTGCCTGAAGTGACTTTACTGTGACGTGCCGTAACTGATATGTGAATCGACCTTAATACTGAAATTGTTTTATTTCTTTAAACGAAACTTAAGTGTTGTGTTTTCTCCATATTTTTTAAGTTTTGTGACATATTTCACAAAAATTTGCAAATTGCACATAAAAAAATGGCTCTCTGTTTATAAGCCATGTTTTTAATCAAACAAAGAGTTTCCAGAAATCAAGAGTAATCAATACAATGTTTTAAACATACTTTGGCAAACAGTGTTATCAACAAACGTTTCAGACATTTTGTAGCGAGCAGATGTTTACAACAATACTACCCTATTATTCTTTTGTTGTAAACTTTTGTTTAAAACATGTTGTTAACAGTTTTCAATCATGTTGTTGGTAGAGTTGGTATTTTATGCAACAGTTCCTTTGGCACAAAGAGCCAAAGAAAATATGTATCCCTAGAGATGTGTCGCTGCAGCTGGAACTACATTTATCCACCGTTCCGAGAGTGGAACTCGTTCCACCGTTCCAAGCGGAACCACAATCCAGTTCCAGTTCCACTGGAACTACTTTTTCAGCTGCAGCTTGGTGGAACGATTTGAATGTAGTTCCGCACAAACAGCTGCAGCCTTTTTGTAAATTTTTAAAAATAGGTTCCGGAGTAACTGGATTTGTAAAACACATACAGTTACAACAAAACAGCTGCAGCTGGTTTATTAATACTCTCACTAAACATTTAGCTATTAAGTTCTAGCCTGTGCAGCTGATGCGTTTTGACTTATTTGGTCTATTGTAAACAAAGGTTTGATTAGCGGATATGGTTGACATGCCTTAAGAGAAATTAATCATTTTCTGTTTTTTATTTTTTTTCAGGCAGGAATTAAATAAAAGTACATCAGTCCCAGTTAAGTCGTGCTCATAATATATACAAATTTAATTATCTCTTCCTCAGTAATCAGTACCGTAATAATTGTTTGTGTTTAACTTAATTCAGGATTTTTTCGCTATTAACTTTAGAATTTTATATTAAGAGTTAGTGTAAGTGGTGTTTGAATAATATTATTTTAACAATAAAAAAATTTATAGTATGAATAAATGCATAATATGAAGAACCTCTAAAATAATTTATACCGGCCTTGTCACGTATCATTTTTAGACCTTACATAGACAAACTAAAATAATTAATTACTTGTACAACATTTCCAAAACACGATATTGATTTCTTTACAGCCGCTATTTTGCATTATATAAAACAATATTCTAATTCAAGAACGGCTTAAACTAATCCGTCTCAAATTATGTCAATAAACTGAGATTTTGTTCATCCGCCCTTTTGCCTCGTTCCACTACGACTACAGCCATAGCTCCGCTGCAGCCGGAAAACCAGCTGCAGCGGGCAAAACCAGCTGCAGCTGGAACTGCTTTTGGAACGAGTTCCACGGCGACCTTGGAACTAGCTGCAGCTGTTTCGCCCAAGTAACTGCTTGGCACATCTCTAAGTATCCTTTCAAACACTCAAAAGAATATTTATTGTTTTTAATGGTGCCAGCTGTCCAAATTTGTTTAAAATTTGAAAAGTCCAAATAATCTTGATGAAAGCTAGTACCATAAGAGAGGTTTTATCAATTAACAATCAAATGGTGAATTTAAAATGTGGTAATTATAGGCAGGAATAAAAATACATAACTTTATTGAAATTAAAAACAGTGATAGTTGGATTAACAGTAATTGCATACGCCATAGTCGATTACACATTAATTTATCTAAACTAAAAAAAACGTACAAAATGATAAATGCCAACTATAAAATTTTCCAAACTAAAATACCACATGTCCATAATAACTATGTTCTATCTACACACATAAATTAGCTGACACGCTGACAAATACTCTTTGTACCATGATAATAATTGAATCGCCACAAAATATCTTTCCAAAATATATCTTAATCTTAATTATATTGGTCAATTTTAAAACTAGTCTTGTGTGTAATGTAGTTGAAGCAGAAGCTAATTGCTTTAGTAGGTAGTAATTTATAAATGTTAACAAAAATCTACACATAAAAAATATGTTAAGGAGTTTTTGCAAAATAAGAAGGCGTTCTGCTCAAAATTACTGAGGAATATTGAATTCCACCTTTAAATTTGTGTTCAGATATTTACTGGTAATATTATTACAAAAATTATAAATCGCTACTTAAGTAAATACTTGATTTATCAAGAGACCCAACTTTAAGTGTCAGGTGACCTCAGTTTTAACTACAACACACAAAAATGTATCATCTCTTTTAAACCATATATATAAATCTAAAATTTTAACAAATTCTTACAATCGATATCATTTATCCAATATCAAAACAAATACATCTTACTTATTTTTAGGCTAGTTTTATGAATTGAAGCACATACAAACAAATAAATAATGTCAATGATCATAATTAATACATCTCTGATTAAAACCAAGTTGATCTCATCATCCAATAAAAAGTCAAAATAATATCTAGTAACAAATATATCAAACTAAACCTAGAACTCTAATTTATTCAGGGGGTTCATTACATTTAAATATAATGAAAATGAGTCAAAATTAAACCAAAGTTGTTGAAAATGTATGAAACATGCCGCCCGAGTGTATGAGATTAGAAACGTGCACGAATGTAGACAGCTGATGCGTCGTGTTCGCCGTAGCCCAGACGCTTAGCATGCTTGAACACCTGCAACATTCAACATTTGAGGTCAGTACTGTAAGACTATTTTGAGAAATCTTTAATAACCTAATGGCACATAGATAGAGGGTAGTAAATCAGACAAATAAGAAGTCATAGTGCCAACAAACTGAGATAGAACAGTACTTAATAATAAGACACACACAGTCAATTAATAAACTGTCGTCATCAACAGTGAACTTAATAACATCACTCAAACTAGTTTCCTCCATAGTTCTTAACAATAGCCCAGTTCGGCAACGTGGTTTGCAACAAACTGCTCTCAAGGTTATGTTCTCAATCATGCTGCATGCTCCGCAGTTGGCAGTTAGATGTGCACCGCGTCGCAAAGAAAACAGTCCCATTGGTTTCAAAGGGATCAGTGGTTCCGGCAACCCCAGAGTACGAATCACACTGCGTTAATCGCAGCTTAATTGCGTCACTAGTAAAACACCACTGACGGATATGAAATGTATTTGTAGTTTACTTTACTGTTGAGGACGTTCTAAACAAATAGTTTAAATAATGACATAGACAAAAAGAATTAAATAGACCGTCAGCTGTGCTGCGGTTACCATAGGTTCTGGCGCACACCGCTTGGAGCACCACGTTAGTTACGGCGTACGCGCTACGTAAACTACAGCGGTGTGCGCCGGAACCTATGGTAACCATGGCAACCGCAGCACGGCTGACAGTCTATATTTCATGCTTTTTGTCTATGATAATGCACTTGGCCGAATGGTCAATCAACACTTTTCAAGTGTAAACCCAACTCATTTACTGGAGTTTGTAAAAATATTAAGTACTTTATTAAATTTTGTTTGCTTCCATTATGTAAACTCTATTCTCTTTCTTTTAATCAAATGTTATTTTTTAAATAATATTGTGACCGAGTGTTTACCTCGTTAGCAGAAGCTGTGAGAGGCAGGGGCTGCTCCAATTGATCCCCTAGACTCAAGGACAACTTGAGGTCCTTCTGCAGATGTTGGAGGGGCAAATGGGTGGGGAAACTGGCATCAATAATGGCTGCAAAACAAACATACCAGTGAAGATGATAGACAATTAATAAACATTTCGGACATTTTAAAAATTATATCAGTCAATTTGAGTTGTAACTATACTAAGTTGATACTTTATCTAGGATGATGTCAAAACTATTTTAGGTCAATTACTTCAACACCAAGACCAAGATATAAAAAAAAATAAGAGCTGGAACATAATACAAGATGGAAAAAATCTTTTAAGGACTATTGAGTTTAAAATACTTGGAACAAAGTAATAGATAAATGAAGGGATCAGAAATGGGGTAGTTGCCGGCAGCTAGAAGGAAAACAAGACTAAGATGGATTGGATATGGGTGTGTGAAGACATTTATAGAAAAATTGAGTTAATGAGGAGAATGAAGGTGTCAAATGGTGAAAAAATAGTGAGCCCTAGACGATGCCCAACTTGGGAATAGCAATAGCGGAGGAAGACTAGTTCTATGTTACTAATTCATTATTGATTTCGTAGATTAAAGGGATAACAGTTAGCTTACCTTAGAAAATGTACAGGTAGGTAAGAGACAATACACAATATTTTTACCCTGGGGGGCTTTCTCAAGCAAGACAAAAAGAGATTCTACCTCTGCACTCTTTTTCTACTCTCTGTCTACAACTGACAAAGTCCCTAAATAAAAAAAAATATTGTGTTGCCTGTGTATTCTATTGCCTAAATGTGTTTTTTTTTCTAATGTAAGCTTAATCTGGCTGTTATTCCCATATTTTAATTTTACAAATCAAAATCCTGGCCTTGACCTATTTCTAGAAGAAAACTTACTTATTAGAGAGACAACTTTGATGTCTGGTTTCTCAGTTGTGTATTTAGTTTAGAGCCTAGCTGATTTACCTTTGCCCTTGTCCAGTATAGTGGGGCAGGCTAGAGATGTGAGCTCCATCACTTCCAACACATCCTTCTGCTGCAACCCCGCTCTGTCAGCCAACGCCATTCCCTCCGCCAACCCCGCCAATGTTACCCCTGCCATCAGCTGCAGTACTAGGTTCATCTTGGACGCATTGCCCACCTCACCTATACAGAGTACATCATATAATATCATGACTTCCAATCAATTCTTCTGCTGCAACCCCGCTTAGTCAGCCAACACCACATCCACCGCCAACTTTGCCATACATCAGGATAATAAAGTGGGCTTGGTTAAAATTAAAGACTTATTTAATTAAAGACCAATCCCTTAAAAAAAATTAAAAATACCCCCTTTTAACCAGACCCCGTTGGGCTGAATTCTGGGTTAACCGAAAATTATTTATAAAAATTCAAATCAATAAACAACATTTACATTGTGTATACATTTGTAGATTTTAAGTTGACGGAAATTAAAATAACATTGTAAAACTACTGTTGTTGATCTCTTTGATTAGACATAGCCTTTTAATTTCTATGATTGATTAATTAAACATTAGGCTATCTAAACTGTACTTCATAGTTGTTCCGTAACTACCAACAACGAAGATATAAAAATGGAATGTCTATTTTTCTTCACAGTCAATAGATATTTTCATTTTCAGTGTCTGCTTACCCAGGTAGAAGGAGTTCTTCCCCATAGCCTCAAAGCAGCTCTGACACTCGTCAAACAGTGACCTGTCCCCAGCAGCCAGTATCACCAAGGTACCTTCCTCCGCTTGTGTCTTACTGCCTTGTACCTGTGCCTCCAGGTACCTGCCTCCCTTGCCTGTGATAGCCTGCGGACAACACACCTAGTTATAGTAGCTACAACTGCATTTGTACTCAGGTTAGGGGGTTTAGGTTAGGGATTTAAAACTTCCATGTTATTCTTATAGAGAATAAACAAATTTTTTAAGTTCATTTATTTATGGATATATTATGATCAAATTTATTTACTTCATAGTAAGCTTTTAATATTTCACAACAAAAAAACACACACTTCCCTGTAGCAGCAAACCTAAATACTCCCTAAACCTATATTTATTGTAAGGGAATTAATCTGGCAAGTACAAGGAAACGCCTTAGGGAAACGCCAATTAGGCTAATGAAAATTTACTTAGTATGCAGGTTTGCTGTGGTAGAGGTAATTAATATTGAATCTGCTTAAAAAGATACAGTGTGTGCTTAAGTCTATTGAACCTTGCATGACTTAAATTGAGGATCAAACATAGTTTATTGTCAAAGTAAGATATTGAAATTCATCTTACAAAATTGTAAAAATGAAAATGTAAGTTGAAGTGCTACAATTACCTCAGCTATGTCCTGGGAAGTCTCTGCGTCAATTCCAGTCATCTCAACATAGCCTTTGCTGGGACCGGCTTCAGGCAGCACTCCACAGTTGCCAAACACCATCTGTAAACATGTGACATTACTACATATCAATAACTTACATCCATACATTAAAACTATCCCGACTCCCAAACAGTCCCTAGTAAACAGACCCTTGGTTTGTATGTTACGTGCTATGAGCTCAAGAGTTATAGCCGTGCTTCTCTCTTCCTTGCGGGGAATTTACCCCTTCCTTGCGCCCCTAGGCTCGGACCCACTGGGCTCATTTACTAAAGCATCCTTGCAAGTAAATAAATAACTGTTAAGTTGCCAATGATGCAATAATCTCATAGCATTCTCATGCGTTCTCTTTTGCGAACACAGTAGAAACTCGATAACAAGTCACCCTTGATAACAAGTCTTGTTTAATAATCCTCAAGAGAGTCTTGTTATCAAGGTTCTACTGTTCTCTTACAAATGCTCCATCAACCTGTCCTTTTGACACTGATTGGTCCACAGATTTTATTGCTGGTTTCCAAACTATTTAGTTTAGTGTTGTAGTACTGCACACATTACAGTAAGCCTAAGTGCTTTTAAACTTATACATTCATTTTTGTAAGCTATGACTTCTGATAGTTCAGGCTATTTTTAATTCCAATTACTGTTCTTTGGTGTCTGAACAAGCCTCAATTAAGTGATAAGATATTTGGTGTGATTTTACACAAACAATGCAGCTGTTTATCCACATCCAATGGATGGATTAAGAGTTAATTTTAGTTTTAGTGTGTTGGTACTGACATCTTTGGCAGCCTGGGGGTCGGCCACACATGAGAAGGTAATGTCGGCTGCCTGGACCACATCTCCTGGAGTCAGTCCTTCCTCTGCTCCTGCCTTCACAAAGTCTCTGCACTGAAACACAACAACGAACTGAAAATTCTCAATTCAACGACATTCTACAAAAGCAAAGCAATCTTTCTCTACCTCTCAAATGAGAAATAAAGACCACAACACCACACAAGAAATGCCACCTCAACCTTTGGCATGTGCACCCATTGACATTGTGTGGAAAGAAATTATCCTACAAAGATGAATTTTTCCAAACAACTGGAAGCAAACTCTGACAAGACATTAATCAACTGAATACTAAGAATTTTATTAAAGTTATTTAATCAATACTTGTTTGGAACGTTGTAATATCCTACAAACATTTTTCTATAAATAATATTGTAAATAATAGATTACACAAGATTTATAATTTAGTTTCTCTATCAATTATCAATCTTTGATGGGGTGCCACATGTATTTTAACCCAAACATGAGTGTAGGGTGAGTGTGCAATGGGGGTGAGAAAATTGTGTACCTTTGTTACTGACTAAGATCAGCTGTTTCATCAGCCAGGATCATTGTTATAAAGCCCAATGATCAGGAACAGATAGGTTAATAAACCTCAACAGCAAAGAAAAGAATTACTGTACACTCCCAGACCAGTCCCAACTGAGTTTCTTAGTATAACATACTCCTTTTATCTATGGTATAACCAAATGTGTAATCTTTGGTTTAACCATAACTCATAATATATTCATCACTGAATGAATTAACTCAACAAATTCTAATACAAAAATGTCCAAATACTTCAATCAGAAATCCCAATGTCCTAAGTAAAAGATGAGTAGAAAAAAGTCCTAAGTAAAAAAGTAAAAATGAAAACCTACAAAAAAAAGGCCAAAGGAAAAATGACAATGTATTTGAGTAAAGCCGAGGTAGTTCAAAGCTTCACCACAAGAGCGCAGTGCGGTGTTGAGGTCAACGTACAAATCAATGAGATAGTTGCTGTCGTCGCCACCAGATAGTGCGCCCTGTCATGATGTTATGGCTAAACAATGTAGTTAGTCAATTTTCATAATTTTACACGTCATCAAGGCAAAACTTGTATAATGACATTAAAAAAATGGAAATTCCGAGTTTTCAAAACATCACACATTGGTATTTGATATTCAGATAGCTTCCAATGGAGCTTATCGTCGCTGGTGTTGTTCTGAATAAAACAAGATGGCGAAACGAAACGACCTGATGTGGCTGCACCTTTGTCGTGAACGCCGCCGCGTCGTACAGCTTACGTAATTATAGCGGAGATTCCACGTCAACTAAACACCGACCGTTCGAGGTTCGAGTGTTGGCAAAATTAGTTTATCGCTATTTTCTGATATTCTAGGATTCGAAAACTGAACCGAATTTGGTTTTACACTTACACCGTGTTTCACATGTAAATCGTTTTTACTGCAAACCCACAGTTATCTCTAGCCCTGCAGTAAACCCCCTTTACCAAGCAAGCATTATTCCGGGGAAATTCTGATTTTCAAGACAACTCTAATCTATATACTGTAATCAATCTGTTGAAACAATCTTAGAGATAAAAAATAATTGTGTTAAAACCTGCTAACCATCAATAGGCCCTTTACTCTGGGCCAACATATTAATAAGTAGTGATGTTACTACTGTACAAAAAAGGGAACAAATTATAAATTAATGAGTCACTAATTTATTTTTGGTCTTAAAACATGTTTTTAATTTGTTAAAGTATTCGTTATTGTTTGTGACCGCGTGTAGTATCAACATGTGTGTTCTGGCCGTAACCGGTTTTGTTTTTTGCTTCCGGGGGGAGCGGGGGTTTAAAACCGTTGCGAATCGCATAGTATCATAGCCACCTCTAATGCTCTAATACAATCCGATCCGTGACACCTACAAAGACCTTATTGTAGCCAAATTGTGTATCGCACGCGGTTCTACAACTTCGTAAGAACCTGAAACTGCACCTAACTTTCAAAAGAAATATTACTTCCTAGAATAATTCATGTTACCTGAAAGTGAGGAAAAGTCGAAAAAGATGTGAAAAGTAGAGTTGAGTTGGGGTAGGGCAAAGCAATCTGGACCAGATTGTGTTGTAAATGTGGAGACGTCTCCTTGCTGTCCTGACTTTGCACAAAGTTTGGCGAGGAAATTCTTATGAAGTTCAAATAGGTACTAGGGCTGGCTTTGACAGAAACTACCGCAGTCAAGTATGGAAATAAGTTTTGTAAAAAAATCTCTGAATACACTTTTGGTAGTTAGTATAATACATTACTGTTAGATTGTTCACGTTTGAATCTTAAGCACTGTAAACGAATGTCCCAAACTGTAAAATTGTCAATACAGTAATACGTAACGTATGTACAGTTACTTATATTAGTGAACTGTGCTCAAAGTTCTACGTCATTATGTTGCAATAACTTGATAATTGATATAGAGGATATGGACATAATACATTCCATTCCGTTTATTAACAAGTTGTGTACCGGTATCTGTTAATTGATTCTTGCGTATCAATATAAATTGAAGGAACAATTATTAAATCTCTCCTTTAAATTTTGAAAAACTCAACGTGTCATGTAATGGCTTATATTATTTTGTATAATCAAAATACAAATTCAATTCAGAAATTTTAGTGTACGTTTCTTTTTATAGTTGGACTGTTGAAATACAACATAGTTATTGTGAATAAATAAACACCCAGATGAGACAGGCGCATTGTCCCAGTTACAACCGAGTATGTATGTAACGAGGTTAACTCCGGCTCAGTGGAACAGCACGTTACTGTCTACTAGCGAAACCAACCTTATCCTAGTTAAAGGAAATGCAGCTGGTTGGAAACAATTAACTCTCGTTATTCATCTATTATTTTATAGTCTTAGAAGCGCTTGAACGATTCAAGAACAATGGAGCAGTTGAATATAGGGGATGAGTACAGTGAATGGAGGGTTGGTTTTGTACGAGGGGTGGAGGGATCGAACCACGCGTCACTTCAGTTATGAACAAATCACAATCGTAGGAATTCTCGTCTCAAATACCATGCACATTTTTACACCAAACAATAAAAATCCTGGATTAATCTAGGCTGTTAAATAAACGATTGCGCGTACCGCGTCTCTAAGCGCATTAAAATGACAGTCGATACGTAAAAATCAATACTGTATTTAAGATAATTTTATACAACAATGGAAAATGATTTGAAATATTTTATAAATCAAGTATATAATTATAACTAATTCCTGTTTATGAAAATACCCAACTACGAGAACATTTTCAATCGCTATATCGACTGCCTATCCGGCGTTGCCGCAACGCTGTATAGAAATTGGTTTTTAAGGAGCAGGCGGATGCACTGGATTAACAAGGCGAAAATCGAGTCATTCGTTATTCCGCGCGACACGACGTCAAGCAAATGAAAAATCGGATGTTTGCATGTCAAGGTGGAGGTATGGTTGTTGACCTACCTCGTTGTGTTTGACTATGAGTGATGGTGACTGGCGGTGTACTGTGTACACAAAACCTACCTTACTACACAATAACGATACCTTACTAGTGTAGACCGTATCAGACATCATAAAACTTGTTTTTCAGATGTTTTTGACCTGGGTAGAGTTAAGGTATGAAATAATATGCGTCAGGAAGATGTGTCTAGCACAAATAAAACGCGGATAGATTATCTATCTACATGACGTGGAGGAAGCCTTGTCAAATACGTCACATGCAGTGCAGCTTTTCGTTCGCTGCCAATTTAGCACTAATGGTAACACTATGTACCTAAAATGCTAGTAATGCCCATAATAGACAAATGAAATAAAATATAGACCGACAGCAGTGCTGCAGTTAGCATACCGCAGCATTGCTGTCGGCCTATATTTAATTATATTTGTCTACGATATTATCAACACAGAAGTTTTAGTTCGTCTCGTAACAGGGTGGATAGATAGTCAGAAACCAAACAAATGCCGCCTCTTCAATAATTACCACTGCTGACCATTTGGAAATTGGAATGGTACTTTAAGATCCGAATATTCCGAATTGCAGATTTTCAGCCAGTTTAAGTTTTAAGACCCATTACTAAGGTTCATAAATAAGAGATTCATTTACCTTGATAAGTGGATAACGATTGTTTCGGAACATACAAATGTTCGTCTAATTATTTGACGCATTATGAGTGAACATTGATATTCTTGCCAAGAATAAAGAATGCTAGACGAAATCAAGGTAAATAAACCTTATATTTATAAGTGATTCAAGACTACATAAAAATAAAATTACTAAAGTTCCCAAGCAAGAGACTGGCAGTATTATCGTGAGTCGAGGTCTCGTGCAGAGATAAGACAAGACTTATCAAGACTGGTCACGTGACACGATATATTGATGTTTCTGACAATTGTCACACAAGTACGGTATACCATAGTAGAGGTGTGTAATCAATTATCTGCACAACGTGGCAACGCCGCGACGCCACTCAACACTATCTGCAGGACTGGGCGATGTTGCCACTTTTCCGACAAATTAGACGCTCTGATAATACGATAATCTAAATAAATGAGTAGTAATCCTTTGATGGATTCTGATAACGAACGAAAAACAAGATCAATGTACATGCGAACACAAAATAAATAATTAAAGTAACAATCATCCGGAAATAAGTAGGCCTATAGTAAGGATAATAACTGGAACCTCTCATATTTTTGACGACTGCAAAGCTCTTTCACTATCCTTCAACGCGTTTCCACGGCCGAACCCCATGATGCCAAAATGACAGCATCAATATTGTAGTTCTGTAGTCACCGGTAAAGGTGTGCTACTGTTGAGGGTACAGAGGTGTCGACATAGATGTGTCTAAGCAGCCCAGCACCTGACAGTAACAAGTTTACAACAGTAGCACAGACACTGTGAACGACCGGCCTTTCCGCCAATTGCACGTCGACGTCGTTTCACGGGTGGACGACCGACGCGGCGAAACTTGAGGATGGCCACTACAATGGACAAACTACGATAAATAAAAATATTCTCTTTCAGAAGAGAATCGTCACTATTAATATTTGCCCTATGCAAATTAGGTTTGATAAGGTTAGCCCTTCATTTGCATAGGTCAAATTGCATCACTGTTGGCGGCC